AAATATTTATAATACATATATTTGACAAAGGACTCATATCAAGAATATATAAAGAACTCTTAATAATAAGGAGACAACCCAATCAGAAAAGGGTGAGCAATATATTTGAATGGACACATCCCAAAATAATAGCCAATAGCACATGAAAAGATACTCAACGTTATTTTCATTAGGGAAATGCAAATTAAACGAGATACCTCTGCACAACCACTTGAATGGCTAAAGTTAAAGACTGACCATGCAAGTGTTTGTTAGGATGTGGAGCAACTGGAAGTCTCATACACTGCTGATACAAGTATAAAATAGTACTCCCGCTTTGCACTGGTATTTTCTCAATAAATTAAACATATGCTTAACCTATACAATAATTCCACTTCTATGTATTTATGCAAAAATATGAAAACATGTCCATAAAAAAGACTTATACATGAATGTTTTATTCATAGCTTTATTCATATGGTATAAACTGTAAACAATTGAAAATGTCTACCAGCAAGTGAATGGATAAACAAATTGTGGAATATTGACAAAATGGAACAATGCTCAACAGTAAGAAGAAAGTATATGTAGCAACATGGATATTCGTTTATGTGAAATAGGACAGGCAAAACTTACCAATAGTGACAGGACAATGGATTGTTGATTGTCTAAAACTGGGTTTGGGGGAATATTGACTGAAAAGGGGCATGATGGAACTCTTTGGAGTGATGAAATGTTCTATGTTTTAATTGGGGCAGTTACACAAATGTCCACCTCTGTCAAAACTCATTGAATGGTACGTGTAAAATAGGTGCACTTAATTGTGTGTAAATTATTCCCCAAAAAAGTTCATTTTAAAAAGTACAAAAACTCACAGTGTAATCATACTATAAAAATCATCTGAAAAATAAATCATCTGAACTTCTGTACCAGAAAATAATCTTTATAACTGCTTCACTTTTGCTGGGTGCTAATGAAAATGTAGTTTAAAATAATGTGTTGTCTTAAGATGCTCAGTAGAAAGATCTGTGGCTGTGATTTTAGTAATATACCAGTACTTTGGCAACAAATTTCATATAACAAAAGCCATCTTTTACGAGTAATATATTCATTTTAAGATCAGAAGCTATAGGGTTGATGGCTACCTTATGGTGCTCTAATTGAGTCAGTGAAACCATGTCGATGTCCTGCTGTGTGAATTTCTCTCACATTTTAGATCCAACTTGGATCTAAAATGTGGGGATTATTGTTTCTCTAAAAAAAAATATTCCTTTGCAAGGCCTCATCAAATGTCCAATTTATTTTTCTTTCCTTTGCATTCTTATGCTAAAGCATAGTTTAATAGTTAAATTCTGTGCCCTTAACTATAATTTTATGCAGTAGGCAAAATGATTATAGGCAAGAGCACATCTTTATCACAATTTGATTATTTTGATTGTGCAGGGATTTTATATTAGCCCAGTGTTCTCAAGCTCAAGTACTAGAAAATTTATATGCACATAACTAGAGTTATATATACCGTGGCCTAATGTGCATGAGTTAGTAAGTAATTTCCTTTTTTCTTTCTCAGCATGATTCCCTATTTTCTTGTCTCAGTTCTCATGACATGCATATATTTATTCTACTTCTTAGTGACTTAACCAATTCTGCCAATGATTCAAATTTCCAGGAAGTTGTGACAATTTATGGGGAGAGTGATGTAGAGTATTTATAATTGGGATTATTCTGTGAGGCCTGGGACATTCCATTACCATTTTATATGGCTATGGAGACATGGAGACTCTGCATGTTTGCATTTTGAAATGATGCTTGTTTTTCTACTTTAATTTTTTTATGAGATCTGGCCACCATATTTCTCATAAGAATCCATTTGTACTCTGATTTGTAAAATGATTATCGAGCCGGGCCTGGTGGCTTGTGCCTGTAGTCCCTGCTACTCAGGAGGCTAAGACAGGAGGATTGTTTGAGGCCAGGAGTTCAAAGCTGCAGTGAGCTATAGTCGTGCCACTGCACTCCAGCCTGGGAGACAGAGCAAGACTTTGTCTCTAAAATAAGTGAAAAATAAATAAAATTATTATTTATTGAAATAAATAGGACATAGTGATTTTTATGAAAGCATTGATAGAGGAAGAGACGTGACTCAGATTGAGAAGACAATAGGACATGTAGTTTAGACACGCTGTGTTCAGATTATCGTTGCTGAAAAAGACTTTTTCCATTGCCAGAGCATTTGAAGTTCAACATAAATACAGCCAGCAACCCGAATGAATGCTTAGCCATGGTACCCACCTGCCCTTTGCCCCTCTGTGGAGCTTCCGCTTTCTCATATAGGCCCCCAGAAGTCCCTCCTCTCAGTTTATCTCACCAAGTGGTAATTGTCTATTTGCCTAGTCATCTCTGAGATTTTTATTGGCAGGGAAATAAACTTCAACTTTGCTGTCCCCATGGTGGCATGTGATGCCCAACACATAGAAGGGTGGCAATGAATGAATGAACAAATGGGGTTAAGGAAGCGACTCAGTATTGCCATGGTGATTGTCGTTGCCTTACGTGAGTAGGGTTTGTGGTAGCAGCATTTCTGATGTAAGACTTGACTTTCCAGCTTCAGTGTTAATTGAAGAAAAAACCACCAAGCTAAGAGCCCCACGTTCCAGACGGTTTTTCTACACCATTGTAGACGAGTTCTGAATGATAATGGCACTTTGCATTTTACTTTTTTCTAAGCAGTTTCACTCTTGTTTGTTAGCTGGAACACAACCTTGCTGGACCTGTTTTCTTACAGCAATAGCTAGCATTTAGAAAGCATTTGGTATGTTCCACCCCACCCACTGTGCCAAACCCTTGTGTGGATTAGTGTAGTTAACTTTTACAACAACTTGATGGAGTAGGTGATATGTAGGCCCCAAGGGAATGGAAGCTTAAGGAGGTTGAGTAACTTGCTCAAGTTCAAACACATAGCAAGTGAAGAAGTCTGGTCCAAACCCAGTCAGAC